ACTACTAATATGATCTGCCTAATGACTGACTGGGTGGGCATGGCTAGGTGGTCATATGACTGTGTGGGCATGGCCAACTCAATGTCACTCACGACAAGGGGCACCTCACCAGCCTCTACTTACCCTTACCCTCCCAGCCACTCCTCGTCTGCCCACCCGGGCTCCTTAGGGCCCCAACAGGAAGCAGTTGTTGGAGCTAAGCAGCCACCATGAGAAAGAGTTGGCAAAACAGCTAGCTGTTCAAATTGGATCTGACGGAGGAGGAGGCTCAGCAGAAGCACCTCACTGAGCATAGGCTTTCCAAACAGAGGGAAGACCTGCGGGAGTGCGAGGCCAGGTACCAGCGCCTGAAGGCTAAGCAGGCTGAGATGGTCAGCCAGTTCCAGACCATGATGCTGTCCTACTGCAACAAGGCCCTCTGGCTCTTCATCACCAGCGGCACTTCCCTCCAGCCTTCACCCAAAGCCCCGCATCAGGGGGCTGAAGCAGACCCCAAGTCAGAATTTCTTCCCCCCCTCTGACCCGCACAAAAAGACCCCAAAGGGGGATACTCTCTGCAGCAACACAAATGTTCATTGCATGTATCCTGCCCAGGGACCATCGTTGAGGACCTCTGATCTAATGCAATATAAAAAATGCAAATATTTTTTCTGCAGACCACCAAAATTTTCTCGCGGACCACCAGTGGTCCATGGGCCACCAGTTGGCGGCCTCTGCTTTAGATTATGCCCTATGCACAAGGGTTGGTGATGGTCTTAAAAGAACTATTCTGGAAGCCTAAACATTTATTTGGAAAAAATTAAAACAATCACTAGATGGAAGCAAAAGTCTTTTTCTATATCTTTACTGCCATCTAGTGGTACAGATGGACCTGGACTTATGGCTGGTTGCTTAGCGACTGTTAGAAGCTATGGTGGACCACCCAGTGTTATTTACAATACCGATTCAAAGTTCCGATAGCCACACCCACATGTGGTCATGTGATTATAGCATGGGAGCTCGGCAACCAGCCTATGATGTGTGGTGTTTTTTTCCAGAAACCTGTGTTTACTTACACACAATGGATTTACTTAATGACCGCTCCATTCACTTAACAACCTCTACAAAAAACATCATAAAACTGGTCAGGATCATATGGTGATCCACTTAACAACCAGCACGATTTACAACCATAATTCTGGCCTCGATTATTACGGTCATAAGTCGAAGACTACCTGTATGTCCATTTTAACAGAAGGGAAGGTGGAGGCGGGGAGAGAAAGCTTTAAAAAGGCCAGTTGCAATTGTACCAGTGGTGGATCCCTACCAGTTCGGACTGGTTGGGCCGAACCAGTAGTGGTTTGGCGACCTGGGTCGCTGGAACCGGCAGCGACCTAAGCCTGCCACGCCCCCGAGCCAGTTCTCCGGTCTGCATCAATAGTGCCGCCATCTTGTTTTTTGGTTCTGTGCATGCGCAGAACAATTTTTATTGCTCTGCGCATGCGGGCTTGCGTACATCAAGCGAACCGGCAGTAGCGACTGCTGGAACCCACTCCTGACTTGTACCCAGCATTGCTCTATCTGTTGTCCTTCCACTTTTTCGATATTAAGCACCTCCTGCTTGATGATGTGTATACATTAGAAGGGGAGGGAAGAATTTTAATATAAATAAGGAGAAATAAATAGAACATTGCTCATCCCTGTCCAACTCCTGTCCCAAACTGTTCCTTAAGGCCTATCAAACTTGAATGCCTCTTCCCAGCACCTTTGCCTCACCTATACATTGAGATCTTTCCATTCAGGTGGGTTAATCTGAAGGCAGGGTAAGGTGAGATATTTAAATTTTGCAAGAGGTGAGCATATTAGCAACTTCCCTGGCAGCCACCCCTACCTTGATTGCAATGGACTAGTCCCAGATGGGTGAGACCATCTCGAGAAAACATACCCCTGAAAGTATGACATATATAATATATATTTAGATCAGCTTTTGGGCTTAAATTGCTAAAGACTGCTTTGAGGAGTCAACAGGGAAGAAAGAAGAAAAATTAAAAAATTGAGTGTGCCTTCATTAAAAAAAAAACTTCTTTCCTAAAAGCACACACGCACACACAGACAGACACACAACCTAGACATAAATCAGCTTTCAGCAGATTTAAAAAAAAAGAAACTGGCTTGAATTTTAATGGGTTTCATAACAGTTATTTGAAGAGGAATTTATGTGTGTCTCTTTTAATTTACATTTTCCGGAGGGGTCCCCTTAGGTGGCTCAGTTGTCTGAGCATTCTGTTTCTTCCAAATGGTTTTGCCAGATTTTTTACAATGAATTAAACAATACTATTATACATTCCAAAGCCTAGACATGGAACGGATTAATACTGGGGATCTCGTTTTGACATTCAAGAGAAGCAAACCAGGGAATTCTCAGCAGGGCCAAGATATCCAGAAGCCACAAACTGCTGGATGATTCCAAGCTCTACAACAAAGGGTGTCCAACCTCGGCAACTTTAAGAACCTGTGGACTTCAACTCCCCAGAACTCCCCATGTTGGTTGGGGGAATTCTGGGAGTTGAAGTCCACAAGCCTTAAAAAAAGCTGCCAAGGTTGGACACCCCTGCTTTACAGAGAAACCACACACTCTGTGCCAGGGTATTCTGGCAAATTCAGTTCGAATTTTTTCTGCACGTCGTAAGGGAGGAAGCGCCCAGCCACCAGGTGATGCTTGCCCATAAATCTTGTGGCACATTGCTTTGGAGCCGCCAAAGAGACAAGAACATCGGGGCTGATTCCATCACTGCTGCCCATCTCTACATCCCAACCTGCAAAGAAAGAGCAAAAATCAGGACAATTACAGAAACACCGCCTGATCTAAGCTCTAATTATCCAAATATCCCCAGCGGGGAGGGGAAGGGGGGTGTATTCTCTATTTCTCCTTCAATGATCCATTTTCAAAGATTTTTACAGCTTTAATTAAAGGAAACTCTAGATGCTGAAGCTTTGTGGTACTATTCCTAAATCTATACTTTGTGGTACCTGATTCCTAAGAATCCCATAAAGGGGGCGTGCATAAGCGCACTAATGTGCCTTCCGTCCCTGTCCTACTGTCCCTATTTATTTGTACTCATTTCCCTTGTTGATGTCCATGTTTATACATACCTGTTATCTTGTACAAGTTTTGACAAACTAAATAAAATAAAATAAAAATATTGGCCTTGGCACATCCCACAGGGGAGCAGACTTCCCAAACCTGAAGGGCTGTCCCAGGATAGAGGATGGAGACTGATTTTATTTATATTTATTTATTTATTTTCTACCTTTTTTTTGTTCTTATAAATAATGTAAGGCAGCAAACGTGCTTCACTTTCCCCCATTATTTTTTCCTCTCAATGGCAGCCCTATGAGGTAGACTGGGCTGAGAGAGAGTGACTGGCCCAAAGTCACTCAGCCAACTTTTATGCCTAAGGCAGGATTAGAATTCAGTCTCCTGGTGATTGGCCCAAAGTCACTCAGCCAACTTTTATGCCTAAGGCAGGATTAGAATTCAGTCTC